TTGTTATATATTAATTACCTTTATAAATAAATATATTATATTATCAAGAATTTGGTTTTATCTCTCTAGAGAACCCTGTCTAACACACATATCCATATGCACACAGTAAAGGCTCTGTCACATGATAACTGGATTTTGAACCCCTGCGGGTGGTAGGCACTGGTGGTGAACAGGCTCCGCTTTAGATTCAAATCCAAAGCTATTTAACTATTCGGTAGCTCAGTTCCTCTCATGTGTAAAATAAAGATAAAATTGCTTCATAAGATTATTGTTAATATACATAAAGCACCTAGAACTATGTCAAGCATACAGTAAGAACTCAATAAATATTCCCCCATTCTGATTATATATGTTACCTGACTGGCCCCATCTATGCATTTCAGTTTGTAGCCTAGTATTAAGGATTTTGGAATTATGAAGAAGGTCCAATGTGAGAATGATTTTCATAAAAATTACAGTGGGGTGTTTGTGTGGACCCATTATATTTTCCTTGGCAGCAGGAAAAAACTCACCCTATGATCTCTGAATCAATTGAGCTTTATCTGACCAAACCAACCACATGCGAATAAGATATTGCCTCTGCTAACCCTGACTTCCTCAGTAGAAGTCTGGCAGGGGTGGGGGGGGTGACCCCCAAGTCACCCTGTGCTAAGAGAAATCCTGGATGTCTTGTCTCAGCAACTGACTTCAACAGATGCTGGCAGACTGACCAGCAACACCCAGGGACAGGGCATTTCCCAAGCCCTGTGGTCACTCCATTCTCACTGCACTTCTAATGGAAATTTACTAGGATACCATCAAGAGGTAGAACTGGACCAGATCAAGGGTGCCAGGAATGGTCCTCAAAGATCTCTATCACAGCCAAAGGAGAAAAGCCTCGTCTTTCCTAGTCTCTCCACCCTAGCCCCGGTGAAAACAGGACTCAGCAATGGCCCTGGTGGCGTGCTAGTTAAGCACTCAACTGCTAACCAAAGGCCGGCCAGTAAACCCATCGCTGCACCTCAAGAGAGAGATGTGGCAGTCTGTGTTGATAAAGATGACAGCCTTGGAAATTCTATGGGGCAGTTTTAATCTGTCCTGTTTTGTTGCTATGAGTCAGAATCAATTCAATGGCAGTGGGTTTGATGTTTTGTTTGGCTTGTTTTGAATAACCAAATGAGTAACGAGATGGTTAAATAGAACAGCGGGGACTTGATCTTCTTAGTGCTTAGGGTCTGGCACGTAGTAGGTATTCAGCAAATATTTGTTGAATGAATGTACTCACACGTCTACACAAATTAACAAAAATAAAGCCGGTGGGAATTTCTGCTCCTTCATCCACACTTCGAGGACAGCAGTACTTAATACTGAAATCAACGTAAGAAAACTCAGCAAGTGCCATGGCACAGGTCCCTCCCCTCAGAGGATGATGCCAAGTTCAACTCTCCCACATCCACATGCATACTGCAAGAAAGAACGCGACCACGATATCACAACTGGACTGCGAGGCCTCTGAGGGCAGGAGGAGCTGCTGCAGAACACCCTCTTCTCCCGCCAACCCCCACCCCCACCCCCGCCTCGCTTTGGGTATAAAGCCAAGATCTGGATTTCGAACACAGGGAATCCAGGGTGGATGATCCCTTAAGGACCAATGGTGAGAGTGGTGATACCAGGAGGGTGGGGTGGAAAGGGGGAACAGATTACAGGGATCCACATACAACCTCCTTCCTGGGGGACGGATAACAGAAAAGTGGGTGAAGGGAGACATCGAACAGTGTAAGACATGACAAAATAATAATTTATAAATTATCAAGGGTTCATGAGGGAGGGCGAGGGGGAAGGGAGGGGGAAAATGGGGAGCTGATGCCAGGGGCTTAGGTGGAGAGCAAGTGTTTTGAGAATGATGAGGGCAACGAATGTACAAATGTGCTTTACACAATTGATGCATGTATGGATTGTGATGAGAGTTGTATGAGCCCCCAATAAAATGATTTTTTTAAAAAGAATGAAAAAAATGTTCTAAAACTGATCGTGGTGATGATTGTACAACTCTTATTGATGTGATTAAACTATTGAGTTGTATAATATATGAATTCTATGCCAACAAAATGGTTGGAAATTTTAATTTTAAAAAAGCGGCTGCTTTGACCACATTGACTGCCTCAGGCCACTCACTGTACTTCATTCAATTAAATAACTAACCCAGCTGAGCTCTGACACATTGGAGGGGTGGTGGGTTGCTGGATTCAATGACCCCTTGAAATGATTCCTAATCCATGAGTATGTTTTCATGGAATTCTTGTTCCTGAATAAAATACTGATAAATCATAAAAACTAAAAAAAAAAAAGATCTGGATTTCTAGCCTTGTGACTTTGGTCTAATCCCTTAATTTTTTTAACCCTTGGTTTCCTTCCTTGAGAAAGTGGGAAAAACCACAGCGCCCACCTGGAGGAGAGATGAGGATGAGACGCTGCTCCGAGAGATGGTCACCCAAGGAAAATCCAAGTGAACTGTGCCATTCCTTTGATCCAACACTCCCAAGGGAACTCATTCCCCAGAAACACTCACCAGGACTGGGATCAAAGCTGGGGTTCTCATCACTGCTGTTTTGAACAGACTCAAACACGGCCCAGAGAAATTCTTTCGGAGGCATGGTCCCTATCATCTTGGAAGCTGTTTGTTGAATGATATCAGGGAACTATGGGGGAGAGTAGATGAAAAAGGCAAAATAAATCATAATTAAAAGACATGGCCACTCAAATTTTAAACAGACTTTAATATATTTAAATTACAACACTGGGTATTTTCTGCTTGGGTTTTTTTCTTTTCTCTACAGTAGTTTCTCAGATAAATTTAATCCCTAGCCCAACTAACCTAGTCTTTGCAAAATCCTATAATAATCCCAATAATAATCCAGTAAATTCTAAGTAGCATAAAGACACATCATTTCCCACCCATTGGACTGTCAAAAACAAAATAAATTGATAATGCCCAATGCTGGTCAAGCTGAGAGTAATGAGCACACTCATTTTTCTGGGAGAATGTTCAATGGTATATCGTTACCAAGACAATCTGATAATAGCTATCAAAAATGGAGGTGTGCCTTCCTCCTTTTAGGTTTGGAACAGTTTACAATTTTATATTTCTCAACAAAAAGAGGAGGATCTCTGGATTCTGCGTGAGATCAGCAATGAAAGGCTTCTGGTTGCTCCAGAGAAGGTTCTGCTTTTCTTCTATAACTGTGCATCTGTTAAGACTTAGGGTCTTACCGTCCATGAGTCCAGACAATTAGGCCAACCCTCTCATGCATCTCTCTGCATGCTGCTGTGCCCCTGGCTCCCTCAAAAGGAAAGCACCACTCCGTTCCTCTTTCTGTTCTAGAGCAAGCCTGCACCATGAGCGCCTTCACAGCGTCAGCCGGTAGTTCTCAACCCCGGCTGTAGCTGAGCACCAGCTGGAGATTCTGTCGGCACTCCGGAGATTCTGGCTCTTCCCACATCAGTCCATTTGTAAATCTCCCCGGTTTCCTTCTTATTTTTGTAGAAAGAGATAACACAACATTTGCCCTTTCAACATTTTTCACATGTACCAATTGCGTGACGCCAATCACATCAATTGGGCTGTACAACCATCCGTGCTATGCAATGAAAAATGTATAATTTCTCAGAAAAAAATTGGGGTATGCATAAAAACTCAGTGCTACCTTAATGACAATGCCCCCCTGCCTCATCTTCCCACCCCTGACAACCTGTACATGTACCTGTTGAAGGTATGCCGGCTAGTGAGCTCAGACAATCTCTGTCCCTTTGTGAGTGACTTTAATGAGCAGCTGAGCTAGTGAGTAGCTGCTCCAACATAAGTACTTACCTTAAAAAAGCAGCATATGTGGCAGAGTGAGTGGCATTTTCCATTTTGTATTTTTAAAAGGGAATATATCGGCATGGGTAGGATTTTTCTGAAAGAATGTCGAAGAAAGTGGAAACTGCAATTGTCTCTGAAGAGAGAGGATGAAGAACTAGAAGTGTCAGGTAAGGGGGAGTTTACCAGGGGATTTGATTTTCATCATGTACTCTTGGATATAGTTGTGATTTGTTTTAACTAGGAGCTTGTATTGCTTCTTTTATAAAGCATGTCCAGCATAAAAAGGTGTAGAGAATAATACAGCAAAACACCCAGGTACCCACCACCCAGCATTAGATCTAAAATATCACAAATAGAATGGAAGACTCCATCAGTTCCACCTTCACCTTTGGCCTCCATCGTGCCCCAGAAGTAACCATCAACCCGAATGTGGCATTAATCGTTACAGCACACGACTAAATTTCTCCTACGTCAGTATCAAATTTTACATAGCCTTGTTTTTCTTTTATTCCATACTTTTTGAGATTTAACCATGGATACATGGCTTTTCCAATTTTAAAAAAATTAACTTGGGAAGATAAGATTAATATATCAGATTTACGCAGCTACTGTTTATGACACTCTTTGGACACTTGAGAAATGATTTGATCATGACAGGACAAAAGGACACATATAAGGCATGTGGGGTTTGGTGGTGTCCCATGTGTTATGGTCTGGCTGAACATCTACGAGAACCAGTACTGTGTGTGCTCAAGTACAGGTAGGAGATTGTATGGGTGTGCTTTGTACTGGATCTGGTTCTTGCTGAGGAAATAGTCACTATTGCTGCAGCCTCCACTCATGGAAGTAGGCTATTTCCTGTCCCATTGATCTTGGGCTTGGTCATGTAACTTGCTTTGGCCAATGCGGTGTGGCAAGTGTGACAGTGTAGCAATGACCAGGCCAGGCCTTAAGGGAAATGACACTTTTCCACTCTCTTTTCTAGAGTTTCGGGCCTTCATGGTGAGAACAAGCTCCAGGTAGTCCAGGTTCAAAGACAATGGAGTAGGGCTGCCCCAGCAACCCACAGACCAGTTAGCAAGAAATATATGCTTATCGTTGTATGCCAATGGGATTGTGTGGCTGTATATTATGCAGGCAAAAAATGAATAATTCACGCTTGCTTTGCATGTTTCTTGGGCTACCTCATCTAACTCTCTGTACATGCCCAATAGAGTGCTATTCCCAGGTTCAGTTTCAATAAATATTTGTTCAGGAATGAAATGTGATTGTACGTAGTATGTGTATGCATACGGCACTAGTGGGTGTAAAACTATTGAACAGGCACGAGTGAGGGATGCACCCAGAAGCAGTGTTCCCACACAGCAGTGATAGTGAAATGACAGCTCCCGGGTGGGGCACATTTGTCTGGAGGGTCGAGTGAAAGGCTGAGGGTGTGTTGACCTGATACCTTGTGCTCTTTTTCTGGACCTTGGGCATCCTGGGCGGGAGGTGGGAAGAAGCTTCCCAAACTACTGACTGACAGGAAACCCCATGAAGTCAACTGGCCTCATTGCGTGCCCTTTCAAAGCCTTCCATCTTCTTAGGAGGTACCTTTGTGGTGATGGCGCTTAATTCATCTCTGGAGAAAAGTACGAGAAAAGGCCCCAAGTCCTTTGTGGTCTCAGCGGTCCAGTTCTGAGGGGGCCTGAGAAGAAATAACAAGCAGTACGATGAAAACTAAAAGTCTGATGAGCACCTGATGCCCTTGTCCCCAGCGATCTTTCAGGAATGGACCATATTTACACCTGGAATGGCTGTTACATAATACCACATCCCTGATCAAAACAATGGGCAGATGATGCAAGCTGGCCAATCAGAATCACCTCTGGAAGCTTTGATAGCATTACCAGAGAAACTCTCTTTATTCTGAGATTTCTAACAGTAAAGAGTGTTTGGGGGTAGGAGGTGCAATTTAGGTCATAGTGGTAAAAATTAAAATCCACACCATGAGCTACAGAGCTGGGAAATAGAGCATATTCCTGCTGGCATCATTTGAGTGCCTGGATTCAGCCATTCCTGAAGTCCACCCCTGGAGTTTCCCATTACATTCTATTTCTGACCTCTGTAAATCCCCACTCTTTTTAGCTTGACTTGCCTTTCTGTCTTATACGTCACAGTGTTGTCTTCCTCTTTTCTTCCACAGAAAAATGGCAATGATGCCTTTCTTCTAAATTAGCAATACAAGCCTTTTCTTGAAACACGTCAAAATGTCCTCTTGAACTTGGCAGGAGAATCATAACTCTGACCCAGTAGCCACCATTTTTCTTATAGAGGCCTCACATGTCGAAAGTGAAGTATCACTATTTGGTGACATATCAAAGGAGGTCTGCCCTTCTCTAAAATAGAGATGGCCCACCCCTGGCCAAGGATGCATTCCCCCTATCTCCTTGATTCAAAATATTAGCCCAATACACTGTAAGTCCCCTGAGGGTAGGAGCCACACCTATCTTCAAAGTCATGGCCTCCTTAGCAATAGTAGCAATAACAATACTTGTCACATACTTAGCGCTGTGCCAGGACAGCTCCATATCCTTTAGATGTATTAACTCAATCATCTTAACAGCCCCATGGGAACTACACCTGACCCCATGCTACAGATGCAAAAATTAAACTGCAAAATAATTAAGTAACTTGTCCTAGGTCATAAAGCTAGCCAGTGATAGGAACAAGGGAGTGCAGCAGTGGTTCCCACCCTTCCTAATGCCAAGACCCTTTCATACAGTTCCTCATGTAGTGGTGACCGCCAACCATAACATTATTTTTGTTGCTACTTCATAACTGTCACTTTGCTACTGTTATGAACCTTAATGTAAATATCTGATATGCTGGATATATTTTCATTGTTACAAATTGAACATAATTACAGTGATTAATCACAAAACAATATGTAAGTACATATTGTGAAATATTTATGCATTTTCTGATGGTGTTAGGTGACCCCTGTGAAAGGGTTGTTCAACCCCCAAAAGGGTCATGACCCACAGGTTGAGAACTGCAGGTGTACAGAGTCCTGCTCTTGAGTCCATGCTTTTGAACTTGACATACTAATAATCCAGTACCTGGAACACGAGGACCATGGTAGTCATGTGGCAGAGTGCTCAGCTGTTAACTGAAAGTGCAGTGGTTGTGGTAGTTCTAGAATCTCCTGTCAACTTGAGGATACTAAGAGTGAAGGGGTGGAGTTTAGCCTGTCAATCAGGTCGCAGCTTGATGACCTCATTTGGTGGCCCAACAGAGATAAATAGCTCACTGGAGGCAGGTTCTCTCTCTCTCTCTCTCTCTCTCTCTTTCTGTATTCCCTTTCCAGATGTTGAGACCTAGAGGAGCCATGTGGAGACCTGTGCCAGCTTTGAGATGCTTCCACTACCACTGGATCCACAAGACTTTCTACCCACTGGCCTGTGATTTCCTGCATTTGGCATCATTGCATGTGCATGTGCTGCGTGAGTCTAAAGAGGAATTTATGGACTAGTATTGGACATTTGAGATAATATCGAAATTATGGACTTGATCTGGACTGGGCTGGGATGTTTTCTCAACATACAATTGCTCTTTGATAGAAAGCTCTTTCTCATACATGTATGAATGTCCCTGGATTTATTTCTCTAGGCAACCTGGACTAAGGCGGTGGTTCCAACGTACCAGTTGCTCTGCAGGAGAAACTCGTGGTAGTCTGCTTCTGGAAAGACTTCCAGCCTTGGGAAGCCACGGGGCAAGTCTACTTAAGATCACTCTGAATCAGAATCAACTCCACAGCAGCGGGTTTAGTTACACCTGCCTGGGACAGTGTTCATTTAAACAGCGGTGTTGTCTGATCACTGACTTCTTAAAATATCCAACCTAAGCTCAGAAACCCTACATACAGCAGAATAATCCTGTCTTCTCCCAGGAAGCTCTCACTCACCAGAGCTGACCGAATGTCCATTATGCACATCAGCATCATTCCTAATAATTATAAAAATGATAGCAACTCCACCTTACATTTGTAAAGTGACATCTTTTCCAATCTCTTCCCTGTCCATTCTGCCAAGGTGGCTTGGAGCCAACAGAAGTCCGACCACAGCTTTCACTATCTAGGGACGCCAAGGCCAGAAGACTAAACCTAGGTGTCTAACCTGGGTCTGAGGGAAGGCGAGTCAGGACCAGTGCTCCTCCACCCACCACACCCCGGAGCCAAGTCCCAGGCCCTCACCCATGCTGTTCCAGGAGCCTGCGCCGCACGGCAGCCTTCTGCTCTGGGCTGAGGTCCACACAGTCTCTGAGGCCGTGCAGGGCGGTGGCCCAGGCCCTGGGGGCGATCCCGTGGTCAATGATGGCAGCTGGAAAGTGGCAGAGCAGGGTCCCCACCATGTCCACTGCATATTCGTCATCAATGACGTTGTTCTGAAACCCACAGTGAAGGTGATGAGAAGACACAGAGGGGCTCAAGGTCAAGATTCCTTACAGACACTTCCCAACCTCAAACCTTGTAAAGATTCCAGGATCTTTGGCTACCGTGGTAAGACATGGTGCCGGGCCTGATTTTAAGCCCCAGGATGTAGGCCTTGGAGGACCCGAAAAGCCCAATGGGGAACAGTCCTAGGCAAGTCTTAGTGCGTCACGAACACTCAGTAGGTTAAGGCCATTGTCCGGTTTCAACAACCATTGTGGTACTTACACAATAACAACAGCACCTCAAACTCGCAGAGCATTTGAAAACCACCAAAGCCCTTTCTCAAAATGACAACAACCACTTCCACAGAAAGCTTCCTGTGTGCTAGGCATTGTTCTAGATCAGCGGTTCTCAACCTGTGGGTCACGACCCCTTTGGCGATTGAATGACCATTTCACAGGGGCTGCCCGATTCATAACAGTAGTGAAATTACAGTTTGAAGTAGCAACGAAAATAATTTTATGGTGGGAGTAGGGGTCACCACAACATGAGGGACTGTATTAAAGAGTCAAGGCATTAGGAAGGTTGAGAACCACTGTTCTAGATGTTTAGCCGTCTCAGCCTACTCAACCTCAAAGTAGTCAGAAGGCACGGGTATTGATTCTATCTGCTTTTTAAAACAGGGAGAAACTGTCAATTCATGGGAATGCTGGGATTCACACCTAGACCATCTCCAAGTCCTGCACATGGGGCCTTGCATTAAGCCTGTTTCGTCCCCTCAGTAACTCTACAAGATACGTGCCCTTGGGTCCATCTTACGGATGAAGGGACTGAAGTTCAGGAAAACGAAATGACTTGCCCCAAACGACAAAACCCGTCCTCGGCAAGGCCATTCTAGAACCTCAGTCTAGAATCCAGACTCTAAGTGCAGCGCTCTTTCCAATCCGCTAAAGCAGCCGCTTCTCCCTTAGCTCCCAGGAGTGGGAGTCTTCCAAAGCAACGGCCAAGATGGCCTCTCCCAGAGTCTTCAGAGCCAGCTCTGAAATCCCCACCTTAGACTTGCCGCCATCACACAAGGCTCACGGTCCCTGCCAGGAGCTCCTAGGGTTCCCGAGGACGTCTGTCCACGATCGCCATGGGGTGGGGTGGGGGTGGGGGGGGGACACCAGAAGAAGCCTCGCCCATGAAATGAACGCTTACCAGGCACTGCTGCACTTTCCGGAGGAGAGAATTCCTTTTGGGGGAGTCTAAAATCAGGGTGTGCACTTGGCTCTTGCCCAGGCTGATCACAAAGGGCGCACACTGGGAAGCTGGAACTGAAGCCAGGTAGCGGGCCCTGCAGGGAAAGGGGAGAGCTGGCTGCTGTGTGTTCCCTCCAAAATCAGAGCCCTGTGTCCAGAGCTTATCCCCAAGGGGCGGTTGCATGGTGTGCTCCCTGTGATTGGGTCCTCATAGAAGGTTTCGTTTTATTGCCGTTGTTGACAGTAAGCGCCGCAAAACATACGCTGATCAACGGTTTCTCCGTGTACAAACCAGCGGCCTTGATTCCATTCTTGGAGCTGGGCCTCCATATTCACCCTCCTTTTCCGAGTTGTCCCTCCCGCGTTAACAAAAACTCTTCCCAGTGGGTTGTTTGTGTGTTTGTTTGTTGTGGTCCTTTTTGTCAGGTAGAAAACCTGCCGCCCATCATTCCTGTTTTTTGATGTCAGGAAACAAACTTCCCACCCCACTCCTTTCCCTTCCCAGCAGCATTGACCAGGGAACGGGGTCTCAGCAAACTTACGTTGACCGGTGGACTAGTTGCGGCGAGAGGAAAGGAAATATGTAAAAGAAAGAGGCAAAGAGGAGAGAGACTAAAGTCGAAATTAAGAAGGGAAAAAAAAGAAAAGATGAGAGAGTGGAGAGAAACAAGAACAAATGTCCCAGAACTCTCCATAAGCTCTTGATCGGGCCCTACTGTGGTGATTGCATAATTTCATGTCAACTTGATAAATAAAGTGTAGGGGTGGCGTCTAGCCTGTCAATCAGGTGATGCCTCCCCGTAGCCTTCTCATAGACGGTCCTGGGAACTACCCTTCTCTCTGCCTTCACCTTCCTGTGAGGAGAGCCATGTGGAGACCGTGCCAGCCCTAGAGATGCTTCTACTGACCTGGGATTCTGCACCCATGGGCCTGTGGTCTTCCTGCATTCAGCATCATTGCATGTGCTGCGTGCGTCTGAAAAGGAATTTATGGGCTAATCTCGGATGTATGGGCTAATATCAGACTTATGGACTTGATCTGGACTGGGCTGGGATGTTTTATTGATGCATAATTACTTCTTGATATAAAGTTCTCGCTCACATATATATGAGTGTCTCAGGATTTGTTTCTCTAGTCAACCCAGACTAACGCAAGTCACGTGTTACTGGTAGGTTACTGGCTGCTAGAGATAAGGGAGGTAAGCAATGGTGCTGAAGGATATGGGTTTTCCCTTTGTAGCGAAGAAGATGATGTAAACATGGCCATTGTTCTGGTTGCATATATTCATGAATGTACTAAAAACCATGGGATTGTGCATGTTTTATGCTTTTAATCAAGCTGTTTTTAAAATAAAGGTTAAGAAACACTTCTTAGATCTATAACACAACTCATCATCACCACTTGAATAGCCCAAAGCCAATCTCAAAAACTTCCTTCAGACATATAAATTTTAAAACAAAAGACTAGACACACACTTTATGATACTATTTTATAAAGCTCTAAAACTTGCAAAACTGAAGGTATTATTCATACACATGTGGTGAAATTATATATATCTTTATAAACAGACAAAATTGTATAAAATCAATCTACTCTGTAAATCTTCACTATAAAAAGCTAGTATATATATATATACTATATATATATATATATATATATATACACATATACATTGCATCTCCTGAATATTACTCAAGTCTCTTCTTACAGCTCCATTCCCAATACCTAGGTCCTACTTATTTATTCATTCATCCAGTCAACAAATATTCACCAAACATCTACTGCATGCCAGGCACTAGCTATAGCAATGAACAGAGAACAAGCGACCCCTTCCTTCACAGTTCTTACATGCTAGTGGGGGGAAGAAATACATATATCAATGGATGAAAGAGATCATTTCAGCTCATAATAAATGTAAGGAGGAAAATCAAATGGTTCTGGAACAGAAAGCAATGGAGGCGGACAGGAAGTCCCCTTCTAAGGCAGCTAACACAAGAATGAGTAGAAGAAGCCAGCCAGACCACTGAAATGAGCATCTCCTCTCTCCCTCCTTCTGGCCAAGCCCCTGTCGCTCCCCTCTCTATGTGGCCAGGGACAGAGATCTTTCTGAAACATACAGCTGATGGCTGCATTCAGAGTACAAGTGAGACATCTCAGAGCAGCATGCAAAGCCCTTCAGGATCCGACTGTCCAGTCCTCTGTCTTCTCTCCCCCAGCTATTCGCCGTGTGCACGCTGTGTCCCCTACTGCTGTGCTTTCCTCACCCACCACCAAACAGAACATCCTTCATGTAGCTTCCTAGAGTACTCAACTTAAACTCTCTCCAGCTTCAGTTCTGTTTTCCCAGACTCTCCAGGTCAGAGGAAATAGTCCCTCCTCTATATCCAGTGTCCATTGCACTTGGTTGGCAGGGAGCACCATGCCCTTCATTGCTACGTCTAAGTGGGGTATAGCCAATTCCACTCCTATCTCCAGGGGTATGATCCATACTTAACCAGCCAAAGCTACTTGTCCTGACTCCAGTGATCAACTCGAGGAGAGCATATTGGCTGGAGTTAAACCAAGAAATATGAAACTCGCTACGTTTATTGAGAATGATGAAAAGTAAATAGTTCTCTTTCTGGGGAGCAATCATTGGATGCAGGAGTGGGGAGGGAGAATTAGAGCTGATTGTGACGATGTACATGTACCACTCTGTTTAGAAGCGGTTTAACTATGGTGTAAGATATCTGAATATTATATCAAGAAAACTACTGAAAAGAAAGGAAAAAAAACAAACTTGACCTAAGATGCCATGGGTGAAGAAGGAAGAGTTTTTGCTTAGAGAACATTGAGTTTATTTTAATGGTGGTGGAACAATTTAGAGAGATGGTTGTACCACACTGTACTAGTCTGGTTGACTAGAGAAACAAATCCAGAGATATTCATATGTGTGTAATATAGAATGTTATTATCATTGTGAATGAGGAGGAGTGTGGGGTGGATGGATGGATTGTGATAAGAGTTGTACAAGCCCCAATAAAATGATTTTTTTTAAATAGGGAGAGAGAATGTTATATCGAAGAGTAATTGTAAATTAAGAAAACATCCCAGCCAATTCCAGAACAAGTCCATAAGTTCAATATTAGCCCATAAGTCCAATATTAGAAACCCCATGTCTGATACTAGTCCATAAATTGTTCTACAGAGTCACACAACACATGCTGAAAGCAAGAAGATCACAGGGAAGAGGGTGAAAAGTCTTATGGAAGCATCTCAGTGCTGGCGTGGCTTTCCATGTGGCTCCTCCAGCTCCAGGGCTCTGGCTGCCATCCACATAGCTTCATGTGGCTCGTCAATGGGAACGTGAGGGAGGGACAGTGGGCCTTGGCTCCAGTGAACCTTTTATCTCCATTGCACCTCCAAATGATGTCATCTAGCTGCGACCTGATTGACAGGCTAAACGCCACCCCTTTACTCTTATTACCCTCAAGTTGACAGATTACGTGACTGCCACAAACATGAAGAGTATAATCAATTGCACTGAATTTCACAGGGAGAAGTTGTTAAACTGGTAAATGTTTTGTTGTATATATTTTTATCAAAATTGGAAAAAAAGTAAATGATAAAAAGAAAAAAAAAGGCTACATGAATAAAAATGAGTACAGAGAAAATGAAAATGTTCTAAAATTGATTGTGGTAAAGATTGTACAACTCTTCTTGATACGGTTGAACTATGAATTGTATGACACGTGGATGAAATGCCAAAAAAACTGTTTAAATAAAGAAAAATAAAGAGTAAATATTTATATATGTAATCTTTCCCTTGAGTATAAAGCTGAAAAGATATAACCCTACAACTGCCAGGGACCAGCACCAAGAAAGAACTTGCCTAAGAGTGGCATCATCAGTGGAAAACTAAGACAAGAAACAGGGAGACAGATGACATCATTGGAGCCCCTGGATCCAGCTATGCCTGAAGCCTGGCCCTGAACTTTCCAGTCATTTGACCCAAAAATCCCCTCCTACAATAAGGTGACCAGATGTCCCGCTTTTGGGGGTCAGTCCCGATTTTTAACAATTTGTCCCGCGTCCCATGGTGTTTTTAAAAAGTCCCGATTTTTGGAAAGAATGCACAAGCTAGGGTATACGGTTTTCTGCTGCCATGTGGCTATTTCGCCAGGATATGAGTTTTATCAATGGTGTCCCGCTTTACCAATGTTAAAATCTGGTCACCTTATTACAGTCCAAGCCAATTTGCATTAAAAATCTAGCCCTTTCAACCAAATATCAACTTGATGTTATGATGAGCTTCATTCTTGCCTTTTTCCACCTTAACAAGATTGTAACCTCACGTATGGGAAAATTTTCATGACCTCTGAGGACCAGCACAAAGTAAGCACTCAATAAACATCTTTGGGGCTGAATGAAGACAAGCACAGGAAGAGGCAGGAGAAAGAAAGGGAGGAGACAAAGAGTGTCCTGACAGTGTGTGAAGAAAGCAGGGCTTCCCGAGGGCTGGAGCCCACAAGCCAGGAGAAATCCCACGCCCATGTCAGCGCTGGTTCCCTGCTTCACCGGCACCCCATCAGGCTTAGGTTGCTTTTTAAGCACTGGCAGCGGGAAACAGGAGAGTCTTCCAAAATGTCTCTGTGGGGCTCAGAATCTAAATCCTGGTCCTCCAGCACTTAACTGTGTAATGCCTGCCGCCTGTTTGTCCACCAATTGTGTCTGAAGAGCCCGGGAGAGGGGTGTCACCTGGGCTTGGGTGACTCTCACAGTCCTACTGCAGAGCCAGACTCTGGGCTCTGATCACTTACGGGAGTGTGGCCAAAAGGTAAGGCGGCATCGAGGACCTGGAAACCTCCCAGTATTTCCATGCCAAGCAGTTAACCTGAAAGAAGGAGGCCGATCTAGAAATGTAGTTCAACAATCGTCATTATTATAAGCACCATAAATTATTATCATTATCAAGCTGCTCCATCTGTGGTCCCAAGTCCTCACAAACAGTGCTTTCTTTGTGCCGAAGACTGTTCTAGGTGCTTTATACAAGCTCTTTTCTTTCCTACGATGTCCGATGGTATCAATACCACTGCCCTGCCCATTTTAAGACGAGGGGACTACGGCAATAATGAAGCAAACACAAAATTCACCCAGGAGGCTGTACCTCTGTGTTTTGGTTTATACCTGCAGACTGGGGGATAGAACGTCACTGATCCTGAGTAGGAAGGAGATTGGCTACATCAATGCAGGGTAAATTGTGCAACGAAAACTATGCAACTCTTCTGTTTCAATAAGGGAGATTTATAAATAATATGGAATGATGGCCATGCCCTATTTTTATATTTAAAAAAAATCTACGTCCTTTGTCTTCAAGTCCATCCCGTCTCCTAGAACCGCTTAGGGTTTTTAAGTCAGTATATCTTACTCTGGAAACTGGCTCCGTCGTGATGGGCTCAAACTGTCAACTAACAATCGGGTAGCAGCTGATTGCTTAACCACTGCGCCACCAAGGCTCCTTATAATATATCGAGTGAAACATCAGTATGTATAAATTCAATGATGTTTTTGAAAATGCATACAGATGTGTTTTGATTGTTTTTTAAAGTCTCAAAGTCAGCAACAAGCTTCCACTACCGTGGCCTCTAGCCTGGTTCTTAGCCTCTATACTATTGACATTTTGGACGGGAGAGCCTTTATTGAGGGGGGACCATCCTGTGCATGGTAGAATGTTTGGCAGCATCCCTGGTCCCTAACCACTAGATGCCAATAGCGCTCCCAGCCTCCCACAGGACAACCAAAAATGTCTCCAAAAAACCCAAACTCACTGCCATCAAATGACTTAGGGCAGAGCAGACCTGCCCCGTGGGATCCTGTGACCGTAACCCTTTACAGAAGCAAAAAGCCTCCTTGTCCTTCCTCCAGCAGCTGCTGGCCTCGAACTGCTGACCTTGCCATGCACAGCCCACTGGGTAACCACTGTGTCACCAAATGGCCCCCAGAGAACAAAACTGCCTACTGCTTAGCTGAGAGCCACTGTTCTAGGGTCAGGCTTATGAGGAATTTTATTCTCCCTGATTTTTTTTTTAAGTAATGAGTATGTGCTTTCAGCATAAATAAGAGCGCCCCCACCCACCCACCCCCCGCCAAAAAAAAGCAGATTTTCTAATTAGCAGGTATTTGAAGGTTCTCGGTGCTGCGGAGTCTGGGTAACTGGCTGTGCTGGGGCAATTCTTCCTTCCTGAGCATGGAGGTGCCCCCCAAAGAGGGTTGGAGCTCCATCCAGCATCGCCTTCCCTGTCTCCCCAGGGCCTTTCTTAAGGCACAAGTGTTCGCACTGGTTACAAATGCAGTCTCAGGCCTTCTCCCAGACCTACTAGACAGAAACTCGGGTGGGACCCCACAAACTGTGTTTTCACAAGCTTTTTAAAGGTGCTAATCCAAGCTGACATTTGAGAATGACTGACAGACCAGCCAAGCCAAGGGATGGCAGGGCTGCATTAAAACTGTGCCTCCTCCGCTCATGATCTCAAAGGGCAACACACGCACACTGAGATGCATGCTTCCTGCCTCTGAGGAGAGAAGGGGCATTTGGGAACATTTTAAGCTGGTCCGGAGCATGCATAGGAACCTTGGGAAGATGGCTTGTGCATTCACTTGTTCACTCTCTCAGGATTCCGGGGAGTCAGCAGCTCACACTCAGACCCACATGCTGCTTCCACAACTCCTGGCCATTGAGTGGATTCTGACTCGTGTGTGGCAGGGTTGGACTGTAATCTTTAAGGAGGGGAACCTTGGTGGTACAACGGTTAAGCATTCTGCTGCTAACCGAAAGGTCATCTGTTTGAACTCACCAGCCCCTGGGCAGGAGAAGATGTAGCTGTCTGCTCCCACAAAGCCTTGGAATCTCCTCTGGAGTCCTTCTACTTTGTCCTGTAGGGCTCACTAGGAGTCAGAATCTATTCAACTACACTGCATTTTTAATCTTCAAGTAAGCCAGACCTTACTTCCACAGTACCACTGGTGGATCTGTGTGCCACTAGCCTTTTTGTTAGCAGTTGAGCACAAACTGAGCCACCAGGGACCTTGTTACTTGCTCAAAAACCATGAAAAGCCAGTCCATACCTTTGGTCTCCTTATAGGTTACAAAGTGTAACAACTTTGGGAAATGAAGCTTTCAAAGAAATTGCCCACATTCAGCGCCACTTCTAGACAGGACGGGAATGTTAGATGACAGATTGCATTTCATCCCAGGAGAATACAGTTAAGAACATGCAAAACGGCATGCCCTGCTAATGTACATTAGGGTTCAAATTGGGGCATGAGAGGATCCCTCAGCTGAAACTTAGATGGCGGTGATAGGAGTACGTGAGCCCTTTGAGAAATAAACTGGAGAAGGAGGCCTGGCTCAATATTTGACCCCCAGTGATCAATTGCATCTGGACACTTCTGGCAGAATTATCCTTAGACGCCACTGTCCATCCAGTGACTTGGGTGGAGAGAGAATTCAAAGGCAGTAGAGCATCTCACCTGATGTGGTGACAGCAGCAAAAGGTTAGTCTCAAAATACTGGAAATTGGCTAGGAAGGCGCCTGGGCTCATGGCTTCGATGTGGGAGCACCTCACCCCTTTGACCAGCTGCCCGACCCTGAAAAACAGAAGGTGGACCCAGGAGAAGAGAGGGGCAGGGAGACAAGAGGAAGCAGGCTGGCTATGATGTGGGCTGCAGACCCGACTGCCCAGCTCCCTCCCCTCTGGTGTGCAGCTCCAAAGGGGTCATCAGCCCCAAGGGAGTGTCACTCCCTACCTCAGCAGCTCCTCGGGCTGGCCAGTGGACTGGGACAGAAGCTCATACAGGAACAAGGCCTAGGGAAAGAGAGTGGTTGCTGGGGCTAATTGAACACTCGCTGTGAAGCCCTGGGAGGAAGGGACGATCCCATGTTATAGATGGGAAAGGGGAGGCTTTTCCCGGTGACATTACTTAGCCAGAACCCAAACCCAAACCCACTGCCATTGATCCAAGTCGAGTCCAACTCACAACCCTGGAAGACAGCTTGGAACTGTGGCACCGGGTTTCCGGGCTGTAATTTTTACAGAAGTAGGTGGGGGTGAGGGGGGCATCCAAACTGCTGTGAGCGCTTCACTACTGTGCCTCCGGGCTCCTTTGTCACTTGACCAGACCCCTAACTTGCTACCTGACCATCGAGTTGATACCTGAACTGGAGTCCATCTAATTCCTGAGCCCCGAGGTTTACACCCCTGGTGACTTCCTACGCTCCGGAGGTGAGTGAGATGCACAGGTGTTGGGAAGAACCTCCAGAAGTTATGAAGCCACTTACCAGTGGGATTGTTTTGTTGTCTTTATTGACATCTCTACCGCCACCCCCACCCCAGTTCCTGAGCATTCCAGGAAGCAAGCCTGGGAGAGGCAGATGAGTAGACCAGGTGGACTGGAAAATCCCATCCATACAGTAACTCCTGCTCACAGCACATGCTACCTTCAGACCTCCCAGGTGACTGCTCTCAGAGACCAATACATCGTAGTCAGGGGAGCTATTTGTTGCAAGGAATGTAATTTTACAGAATACCTAACTTGCAGGAGCGATCAAGTGGGATATCCATCTATTTTATAGACTCCGAAGCTTTGAACATAATTCCCCAAGCAGAATAAATCATGGGCTACAGTTAGGCTGCCACATCTGGGACATGGCAGCTGCGGTTCATAAGCATCAAAATTGGCCCAGGCTAGAGAAGCAGCAGAAAAGGCTCCTGGTGTGGCTCCAGAGAGTCCAGTTCTGGGGTCCTCCCACAGTCTGCCCCATTTCAGGAAAACATCAGCTCAAGCTGCTGAGTCTAACCTACCTATAAGGCTTCTGGGGCAGGGTGTGTTTCCCAAAAGGGCAGCTGCCACGTTTGCTGTCCAATATGACCTTCGAAGAACCTCTCTACACCTCCTTAAAGAAGTCAAAGCTATGTCCCTGCTGTTTAAACCTGACTTTTCCCCCAACCACTCCCTCCCCTCACTCCAGCTCGGGGCCTCCTCTGAATGGAGTACAGGAGTGATACTGTGTGGCTTTCAAGGTGAGGTCAAAGAAGAGCCCTGTCCTTGCGAGCCCTGACCCTCCCATCTAAGAAGCTCAGCCACCTTGAAGCCACCATGCTGGAGAGACCACATGGAGAGAGAGAGAGATGCCCTGGACTGCTTGAATTTTGCCAGCCTCCAAATGATTCTGGCTCCAATCATCATCTTAGGCCAATCCCATCAGAGACCTTGAACAAGAAGCCCTCGAGAATCGAATCAAATGATCACCTCTGTCTTAAGCCACTGAACTTGGAGGTGGTTTCTTACACATGAATAGGTCATCGGGTCATCATCCTTGACAGAGTTCTTTCATACCCCCTAGCCAGTCAGTCCGATGGCTTTGCCAACAGAATTGGAGCCCTGGTGGTATAGTGGTTATGAGTTGGGCTGATAACCACAAGGTCAGCAATTCAAAACCACCACCTGCTCCTGAGGACTAGAGCCCTGGCTTAAACTAGCATAATAAACGCCTCTTTGTATAGCAGCCTTGTGCTTGATCTCATTCCATTGAAGGGGAAATCACTCCAGGTCCCTAACAGAAGGACGGCTAGAATGTTTCTTCGAGGCAAGGACAAGACTTCATCTCGTGTACTTTGGACTTGTGGTCAGGAGAGACCAGTCCCTGGAGAAGGACATCATGCCTGGCAAAGCAGTGAGGCCCCAAATAAGAAGACGACCTGGGGCCAGATGGCCTGACACAGTGGCTGCGACGATGGTTTCAACTGACGAAGAATCGTGAGGATGGCGCAGGACCGAGCAGCGCCTCGTTCTGCTGTGCACCGGATCGCTATGAATTAGAACAGACTAGACAGCGTCTAACAATAGATGGTCCTGACTTCTCCTATCTTCGCAGGCAGGTTTGCTAGTGCAGGCAACATGTAATGGTACCCATAAAAGCAGCTAGCATGCATAGCGCATGCCTGTCTCTTGTGCCAGGTGGCATATGTCTTATGTCATTGATTCATATGGAAAGTTATCCCCATTTCACGCATGAGACGACTGAGGCTGCCTACGGAACTGTAGCTCCCCCACAGCCAGTCAGTGGTAGAGACAGAGTCCATGCACGTGTCTTGTCCAGCACTTTAACACTGTGCTGCTCTGCCTCCTGAATTCAACCCCACAGAAATAGTTACTTTTCCAAATTACAGTGACCGTTAACCCAACTTTCCCAAGAACACAATCAGTAAATAAAAGGACCAGCTACCATAGAATCAGTTCCAACTCACAGCCACCTCGTGTGTTTCAGCGTGAACCTGCACTTCATAGAGTTTTCAGGGGCTGGTTTTTTTCAAGAAATAAATGACCTGGCCTTTCTTCCAAGGCCCTCAGAGCGAATTTCAACCACCAGCCCTTTCAGCTACCAGCTGAGCACCTTCACAGCTTGTGGCACCCAGGAATCCCTCCCAGAAGGCAGGGGCCAGGATTCCAAGTACAATCCGCGGGACTCAAAGCCATACCTGACTTCTCCGAAGCTCCTTTTCCTTTAAAACTGTAGAGTTGAATCCAGGTTCCCGCCGCAGATCGAAAAGCGACACTTCCTTAAAGAACACCCCTGGAATATCCACCAGGGCTGAGGCAACATCTCCTGTTTCAGTCATCTGCCCAAAGTGAGAAGACATAACATCAGAACCGCGTTACATGGGTGCCAAGGCTTGGGGAAGAGCCATCCTTATGATTGTCCCTAAGTTTCAACACTGTGCCTAGCGCTTCCCAGGCAACAAAAGCTCCCAGATCCAATCAGCAGCCCTAGGACGGAGGGACTATAGTCATCCCCATTTTACAGAGAGGGGGAACTGAGGCTCATGGAGTAATTGGTCAAAAGCCTATGATGTTGCTAAATGCCTTGGAGTTGGTTGTGACTCATAACGACCCTCTCTACCACGGAGCAAGACACTGCCTGGTCCTGCGCCGTCCTCACAATGGTTAGGTCCGAGCCCATTGTTGCAGCCATGTGTCCATCCACCTTACCAAAGGTCTTCTCTTGTTTGTTCACCCTCCTACTTTACCACACATGAGGTCCTTCCAGGGACTGGATAACACGTCCAACGTTCAAGACAAAATCTCGCCATCCTTGCTTCGACTTGTTCCAAGACAGATGTGTTTGTTCAGCTGACAGTCTGTGGTACGTTCAATGCTCCTTTTGAACACCGAGTTCAAATGTATCGATTCTTCTTCAGTCTTTTTATTCCCTGCCCAATGTTCACATGCATATGAAGCCATTGAAAATGTCACGGTTTGGGTCAGGCACACCTTAGTCTTCAAAGTGACAGCCTTGCTTGTCGACCCTCTAAAGAGGTCCTGTGCAGCAGATTCACCCGGTGCGATATGGCATGTGATCTCTTGACTGCTGCTGGAAATGAGATTCAAGCTTGTCTACCTGATTCCCAAACTCAACGTCTTTATGGAAAAACTACTGCTACCTGCAAGCCGTTGGTGATTTAGGCCAAACCTCCAGGTTTGGTTTCAAAGCCGATTCTACCGTTGACCCTAGGAGGTCTGAGCGAGGAAGGGACTGGGAGAGCCACTGCCAGCTGAGGAAGAGGAGTGTCTACACAGCTTTGCATCTGCATCTTCACCTTGGGATAACAAACTTTAAAAATAGTTAGGGGGTCAAGAAATCTGAACGTTTAAAAGGCCGTCAGCCTGGCTAGGGAGAGCAAAGAGGCCTGGGAAAAATGCAGTCTGACCAGAGGGGCTCTTCCTGAGAAGGACGGAGGGGAACGTCTGCACATCAGAACCCCCCTGAACACTGAGGATGAGATAACCCTGGGCCCGACTTAATGGCCCTAAGGTGCAGCCCACTCACAAAACCCCCAACCCTCACCCTCAGGGAGCATAAGTGCCTGAGGGCCGGACGTCTCCATCTCACCTTGCTGAGAACGCCCTGCTGCTGGGCAGCCGACAGATCACACAGGTGCTGCGCAAGGGTGCTTCTCAGGACCTGGGCGAGGTCCTTGCGGTCCATGCTGTACAAAGCCTGGGTGCTGAGCCCAGTCAGCAGCACGCCCATCTGGCTGATGTTGTAGAAAGACAGCACCTAGGAGAGGCCCAACAAGAGGACAAGGTTCTGGTCTAACCATTCCCCTCTCCGGTCTTTGTTAAGCCCCAAGCCTGCCAGATGTGACAGTGAGCAAGGCAAGTGCCACTGCCCTTTCTTCTACCGGAAAAGAGAGCTAGAGATCAAAGAATGAGAAGCGAGGCTACTAGGCCACACCGTTTGGCAGGTCCTAGAAACATGGACATGAACAGGGACATGAACATGGACATATGAGCCATGGACATGAACATGCACATATGAACCAATACACACCCACCAGTGAAGATAGAAGCGCAACCTTGCACCACTGCACAGTGCAGTATTTTTCACAGTAGCAGAAAGGTGGAGACCATCTAAGCAGCCATCAACAAATGCCTAGATAAACAAAACGAGAGGCCTCCCCACAATGAGCTCGGCCAGACAGAGAAATAAAGTCCCGATGCACACCACAACATTGGTGAGCCTGGAAACCATCCTTCCTGCCGAAATACATTAGACACAAAAGGACAAACACATACTTCATGAGCTCAGGTATATGAAATAAACAAGTACATAGAAGACAAAGATTCTTGGTGGTTACGAGGGTCCGGAAGGAGGAAGAAAGGAGGCGTTTCCGTGTGGACAGCAGTGAGCCTGTGTGAGTGGTGCTGGAATCACGAGGGAAAGGGCTGGATGAACTAGGGAAAGGGTAGAGATAACATGAAGAATGTAGTGTCACTGCTTCGACAAGATACATAACAATGTGGCTTGCTTTCACCACAACAGAGGAAAGTCATGACTCACAGGTCACACCTGGCCAGAAGATACGGGGGTTTTGTGTTGCCTGTGAAGACATTGACAATATTTTAAAATTAGAGGATTTCCCAGAAACAATCTAAACATCCATCACCAGACAAATGGATGAATAAAATGTGGCGCATGGAATGCCACGCCATGAACTTCTGATAGATACTGTGACAGGAAAGAACCTGACAACATTATTCTGAGTGAAAGAAGCCAGTCATACAAGGACAAATATGACATGATCCCACAAGAAAGGACAAGCATTATATGCCTACAGTGACTACCATTCATTAATGGTTACCAAGAGAGGAGGGAGGAGCGAAGGGGGAAGTCATTGTTAAGGGGCACTGGGTTCTGACCATGGTGATGGCATAATGTTGAAACAGATAGTGGCAATGGTTCTACAACAGGATACATGTAATCAATGTCTCCGAACTACACAAGTGAAAAAGGTTGACTTGGAAAATGTTTGGTTCTTTATATTTTTCTACCATAATTTTAAAAAGGGAGGATCTCCCATAAACACCTCTATTTAGGATTTTCTTTTTGTAAAAATCTGAAGATCTAGTCCATATTCCTACCTCTCAATAATAGGTAAGAGCTAGAGAAATGACTGATGAAGATCAAAAGCTGAAGTCTTCCATAGAAATTACATCTCAGTGTAATGAAAAAAGCAAAAATCTCCACAACTGGACCAATAAGCAATATCATGATAAACAGAGAAAATATTAAAGTTGTCATATTTCATTTTACTTGGATCCACAATCAACTCCCATGGACGCAGCGGTCAAGACATCAAACAATGTATTTTGTAGGGCAAATCTGCTGCCCAGGGCCTCTTTAAAGTGTTAAAAAGCAAAGATGTCATTTTGAGGACTAAGGTCCACCTGATCCCAGCCATGGGATTGTCAACCACCTCCTATGCATTCGTAAGCTGAACGTTGAAGATAAAGACCAGAGAAGACTTAATAGCTGCCTTTGAATTATGGTTCTGGCAAAGACTACTGAATGCACCATGGATAGAAGAACAAACAAATCTGTCTTGGAAGAAGTACAACCAGAATGTTCCTTAGACACAAGGAGAGTAGGTGTTCATCTCACACCCTTTGGACATGTTTCCAGGAGGGACCAATCCCTGGAGAAAGACATTGTGTTTGGTAGATGTCGTCAATAAAGAGAAACCCTTGTGGTGAAGTTAAATTGCTTGGCATGGCCCTTCTACTCATAGTCTTTGAAAGTCCCACACAATCACTGCAAATAAGGCGTGGAAGACTCTAACGGGGATTGGTCGATTTGGCTCTTCAACTGGGTATAAAAGTAAGCCATTTCAGAAACAGGAATAGAAGAATCCCATGACCAACAGGACCTTATGTGGTAACAATGTCTCCCCCGCTGCCCAAGACTCTGATCACAGGATGACAGATGTGTTACCAGCCTCAACAAGCAAGAAAATCCTAGGATGGATCCCACGCACTCCTTATTTACTTACCTACACAGATTACAGTCTTAAGTGGCTGGACACTATTTGCACAAACAATAGATGTTGGTGATAGATTGTAAATCTTTATAAAAGCAGATAGCCTCATCTTTCTCCTGCAGAGAATTTGGTGGGTTCAAACTGCTGACCTTACAGCTAGCAGCCCAACACATAACTCCCTATGCTACCAGGGCTCCTAGTAGGCACAAAAAAAAAAAAAAAGGGATGAGCAAATTGTCCAGCATCACTTAGTTATAAATGGCAAAGTAGGGATTCAACCCCAAATAGGCCTTATCACTAACCTCCCACTAACCAGATGCCCCTGCTGTGTGGGGCTAGCTGGTCCTGGGGTCCTGGCTCCTAAAGAAGAGTTCATAGCTCCAACTGACCTTCTCATGGGCCAAGTACTTGGCAGACAAGATGATGGTCTGACTTTTGGTCCAGCCTGTGACTTGATTGAGGGTGGAGATGGCGCTGTGCACAGCCTCGGGGGAAAGGGACTCCAGTTGACTGTAGGTCAACCCCACAACCGAATCTGACAAAGAGCCCAGCGTCTCATTGAGGGTCTGATTCTCGGTGGCAATGTCCAGGAGGTCAGCTTTGAGCTGAAAGAGAAGCAAACTGAGAATGAGGGTCAACAGGCACGGGAATGTAAGACTCCATCCTAGGGTCTAAGGACTCTACACCACCCTCCCCAGGGCTGTCCCTACAAGGCCCTGGCTCCAGGCACAGAATGGACAGACTCTCATCACGTCCAGACACTGAGCCGCCCCCAAAATTACCTTCTCTGGCCTTGATTTTCATGTGCCACAAATTCACTTTGTGCTTCATTTAAATGTTAATTTGTTATTAAATCAACCCTAAAGCCTAGCAGAAGAGAATTTTGTTCATTCTGAGCATAACTCCACCACACTCTCTATTTTTCTTTTACAGCATGGAGCTTTTTACATCCATTTATGTGGTTGTTTCTCTTTCAAGAGATATCCGGTGGTTTTTGTGTGTGTGTGTGTGTGTGTGTGTGTGTGTGTGTGTGTGTGCGCGCGCGTGTGTTTTGAGGATAATATGTAATCTGTGTAAAACTCATTTTCAACAGTACAAGAAAGTAAATCTTCTGAAAATCCTACCTTTCGCTACGCTTATCAAGACTTTTTAATGCCTGTTAATGAGATAGAATCTATAGTTTTTACATAGTGGTAAAATGAACGCAAAGGTAGCCCCTAATAAAATGATTTTTTAAAAAAATGAACGCAAAGGCAATTTTCTGTTATTTATTTGTTCGTTTTAAACTACATCTTGTACATGTTTGCATGTCAGTATGGACACCTTAATTATACTATATGAAAATACATCTGCCTCGTCAGTTATGTGTCCAACTGCTTCATGAATGGAAGGCGATCGATGTGTCTATCCTAACAGGAAATGGTACATGCTTCAATGCTTGCATGTATATGCATCATACACAATGTGTAGGCATGCCTCAGACCTCTACTATAAATATCATAATAAAGTGAGCCACACCATTTTTTTCTCAGTCTATATGAAGGTTATGTTTACATTATACTAGGAAGTGTGCAACAACGTAATGGAAAAGTTTGAAATCGTGTGAGCATGGGCAAAACGTGCCACAGAGACACAAATGAGCACGTGCTATTTGAACAATGGCGCCCACAGATTTTCTCCACGCAGCTTTGCTACAAACCTTCAATTCACGAAAAACATGGTATCTGGGAAGCTCAAAAAAAAAATGAGGTGTGCCTTTACCTAGACATGCCCACAGCTCGTCCAGGCAATAAAGATATGGCCACAAGGAGGCAGCGGAGAGATGAAAAAGGAACAGCTGGGGGCAGCACCTGAGCTCCACTGTCTGGTTCTCTAAAGCCAGCAGCAAGGACCCTTCTCTAGATCTGTTTCCGAATCTGTTCTCAAAGTGTGGTCTTCAGACTAGCGGCATTTTCAGAGACCGGGAACTTGCCTGCATACAGATTCTCAGTCCCCATTCCAGACATGCAGATGGGACCTAGTTCCCTGGGTTTTAACCAGCTCTCTAGATGATCCATAGGATATTCGTTGGCTAATTTTTGGAAGTAGATCATCAGGTCTTTCTTCCTAGTCTGTCTCAGTCTGGAAGCTCCTCTGAAACATGTCTACCTGCTGGCTCTGCTGCATTTGCCATAGCAATGGCATAGCTCCCAGCATCACAGCAACACACAGGCCACCACAATATGACAGTGGCAGCCACGTTTCTTTCTCTTATGCATAAGGTTGTCACGAATCTGAGCCAACTCCCGATACACGAGGTGATTCTGATGCACCCTCAAGTCAAGAACCACTACACTAAATGATTCACATCGCATGTCTACTTGTCTCTGACTTTTCTTGGTCAGGGCTACCACGGCCACCCATGTCGTCTTATAATGAAATTGCTCTTAATCTTTGCTAGAGCTGAATTGAGGGGTTTCTTTTTCTTGAACACAAAAGCACACCTTGGCCAAAATAGAGGGCTACCGGGTCAGGTACCCAATCTGATTGGACACCTGATGGTTTGTTTTTGTGTGAAAAATGGCTGTGGAGTTAGTGATTACTTCATCGATGTTTTCTCTAATTTTGCTCAAGCCATTTTTTCAGTAGAAAAGAAATAAGACATAACAAAAGAAAAGTAAAAGCGAGGGGAAGAATTGAGAATTTGAAGGAAGCAAAAAGAGAGAGAGGAGGAGGAGAGACAGTTTGCCTTTGTTAATTTGTCTAGAACCTTGATCGAAACCAGCCACTGTCACTGAGTTGATTCTAACTCACGGTGACTCTCTATAGGGTTTCTGAAGCTATAAATCTTTATGGGAGCAGATAATCCCATCCTTCTGCCAAGGAGCAGTTGGCAGGTTTGAACCACTGACCTTAGGGTTAGCAAGCTAAACACTTACCTGATAACCACCAGGGCTCCTTGAATCTTGGTCTTGAGACTCAGTGAATATTCTCTAAACCAGTGTTTGGAGCTCTGGTGGTGCCGTGAGTTAAGCATTCAGCCACTAATCCCAAGGTTGGTAGTTCAAACCCATCAGCCACTTCTTGGGAGAAATATGAGACGTCAGCTCTCATAAGGATTTTCCATCTTGGAACCTCTAAGGAGTTCTTAGCAACCTATAACTCACTCACTGCCATCGAGTCCGTGCTGACTCATAGTGACCCCCTCCCCCGTCGGTTTCGGAGACTGTAACTGTTGACGGGAGTAGAGAGCCCATTCTTTCTCCCACAAAGCTGCTGGTGGTTGTTTCGAACCACTGACCATGTGGATCACAGCCCAACTTTATAACCACTCCCCCACCAAGGCTCCTCCTATAGGGTTGCTATGATTTGGAATCAACTTGATGACAGTGGGTTACTGGTGTTCAGGAGCCCTGGTGGTACAGCAGTTAAAATGCTCAGCTTCTAATGGCAAGGTCAAGGGTGGTCTGAACCAGTTAGCTACTCCAAAGGAGAAAGACATGGGGGTCAGCTTCAGTAAAGACTCAACCTTGGAAAACCTCGGGGCCAGCCTCCTCTGTCTTAGGCAGTCACTGTGAATCAACACCTGGTTGAAGCAGATTAGGATTGGGTAATCCAGTGTTCTCAACCCTGGCTACATCAGAATCACCTAGGAGACTTTTAAAACATACCCCAATGCTCTGCCACCAGAAACCCACTTCCCCTGAGTCAATTCAGACTCATGGTTACCCTCGTGTGAGGAGGCTCTTTCAGAAGGTCACCAAGCCTCTGGGTGGACTCAGACCACCTGGGCAAGGATGGGATTTATTATTCAGTGAAACCTGGGAAAGCTGGGACCGGTGTCAAGTCAAACCTTGACTTGACAAGGAAAACGCAAATGCTTTCTATTCAATGGAGAGTAAAGAGAAAAGCAGCCCCCCGTGGAGTTGGGCTCTCGGGGGTTCCTCTCTAAATCAAGGGCATCTCCTTGGCATTCTAAGTCTGATTGCCGCACCATCGTTTGGAGGTGCAGAGCCTCAAGGCCACCCCAGTCCTGCCAAATCAGCTCAGCACTTAAGAACCAGCTGATCCAGAGGCACACGAAGCTTTGGCTCTGGCCGAATGTTTTATCTACACCACGGTTTCCAATGCCGGGTTTTGGTCACTGTAAGCTCCTCCCAGTATTCGAGACACGGTTTGCCGTAGATGGACCTAGATCTTCGTGTATCCTGTGCATTTTCTCTCGAAGGCCAGCCAGGGCTGTTGTTCCCACTTCTCTGGCTAGTGGAAGCAAGGCCGAGACCCCAGGCCATGCAACCCATCTGCACCTTCTGAACACTGGCCTGGAAGCCCCTCAGGTGGCTGCACTTGATCATCTGGTGTAGGAGGACTTGGGCTACAGCAGCATCCAGAAAGTCCAGGTCGTCGTAGAAACAAACCAGCAGCCCCAACCTGTGAGAGAAGACAAGGGATGGTGGTGGATGGTTCCAAGGTGAAGGCCACAGCCACACCCCTCCAGTCAGAGGCCACAGAGTTCTCAACCAAGGCAGCTTCCATTTGCTGAGCCCTGGCCCAGATAACCTTATCAAAACAGCCCCACCAGGTAGGGGCTCTCATTCGCCCCATTTCACAAGAGAACAAACTGAAACCCAAAGGTCAAGTGACTTGTCTAAGGCAAGTCATGGGTCTGGAACTGGAATTCAGAACCACCCAGGACATCTGCCTTTCCTCCTGGGACAACGGAGGAAAGAATGCTGTGGAGCTGGTCACAGAAAGCAGCCCATTTTCCACGTGATGGGTAGGGAGCGGGACCACCCTGAAGGCTTCTCTGAAACACAGACTCCGTTCCAGGATGCCTTCACTACCTACCCTTCCAGAGGAGGGGAATACTTCAGAAGGAAACAATACACAAAAAAGGACAAGAGGTGGGAGAGCATCAAAGCAGAGGCAGGATTCGAACTCTGACCTAGCTGGAAGAAAATTCCTTAGTGTTTCTAGAGCATAGATTTAGGTTGCCTGGACTTGAAGTCCAGTCCTTTGAGATGTCTGACCTCAAGCAACTTACTTAACCTCTTGGCAAGGTTGTGATCCATGATTGTGCAGTACA